TCTCTAGATGGGATTTGCCTTAATGGTCCTGTTCAGCATTTCATTCCCTCTGGACTGCTAGGTCTGAGCTTGTGAATATGCAGCAATCAAGGCAAGTCAAATTAGGCCTAGTTATGCTCACTAAATTTCTTACATGACTATTACATTAAGTGGTAATATTAAATATGCAGCATTTCTTACGCCTCTCACTGCTCATTTATACATCAGATGACACAGAGAAGTGGTTCCTTCTTGCTGGTCCTCTCTCATAATATGAACCAGCCAAGGCATGTGAGCAAAAACTGTAAGCCACCTCACTGCTGAGATAGTGGTAAAGGATTGCCCAGTGCCTGAAAGATGTTTTTGATGAGAACAGCCCTGAATGTAAGGAATCTGATATTTTAGGACTGAGTCTTCACACAGTTGTTCTGAATTAGTTTGTCTCCAGGATATACTGCTTGAAGTGGATAAGCCCCCTTTCTCAAGTGGGATCCTGAAGCTGAGAAAAATCTTACTAAGAATATTCCTTCTTCAGAGACTCTTTCCTTACAAAACTGTTTGGCAATATGTTACAAGGGAGCTACCCTCCTCCAGATAGCTTTCCTAAGAGCCAGAACTACCCAAAGGTGCTGTTTTGTGCATATGTGAACTCTGGCTTATGTATGCACCCTCGGGGGGGGGCACACAAAGTGTGGAGACAAGAGGACAATCACGGGGTGTCCTGCAGGTGCCGCCCCTTTCTGTTTGAGAGACCCTTTCACTGGCCTGAAGCTCATTGAGTAGCTTAGGGTGGCTGCCCAGTAAGCCCCAGGAATCTACCTGCCTCTGCCTCCCCAGCGCTGGGATTACAAACACTTCACTGCCTGACTCTCTCCCTAGTCCTGTTCACAAAGGCTTTTAGCAAGGAAGTTCACTTCACTGTTACTTATTAATAGAGAAAGTTTGGGATCATCCTATCTGTTCAACAGAAAGGGATGATTAAATTATGGTATAGTCCACATGTGGGAATTCTGGGCAACCATCACCAAATCCAATTTCAAGGATTATTTAATGACATTGGAAATGTTCTTGCTATGATGTTAAGTAATGAAAGCAAGACACTAGTGGGACTGCAGAATGGCACTACCTCTATGGAGGGGAATTTGGCAGGCAATATCATAATTCCATGTGCGTTACTCTTTGACTCAGTGGTGTTCCTTCCAGGAACCTATCCCAACGGTGCACTGGCAAAAGAAAGAAAAGCACCACATTCATGCCCACTCCTTACTGTATTGCTATTTGTAATAACCAGGGCAGGACCAGCTCTGTGGCCATCACTGATTTGCAGAACTATACACTGGAGTACTATATAACTATAAAGGGAATAAGGAAGAATCTGTGGCCTTATTTGGAAAAAAAATCTCCAGGATATTCTGATATTTTGTTTAGAAAAAAAAGCCAAAATATAGAACAATTTGTATGGTACACCGCCTTTTGGATAAGAAATCAATCCGGGATGTGTGGGGCTGCTGCCTAGAAGACAAGGAATGCTATTTATAGCAAAACGTTCTTACAGGACTAAACGTTGTACATTGTAAAATAATACAAAGCTCGGGCAGTAAACATGTTTACTGAAACATGCCAGTCAGCAACCATGTTCATTCTCACTATTATGCACGCACTGTGCTTGCTACACTTTGATACAGTTAGCGTGTCGGTAGGTTCACTGACACCAGCATTAGCAGGCATGTGCAATGTGTTCACACTCTGTGAGGTGAAACCTCTGTAGCTCCACTATAGCTCACCATTGCCTGAGACACCGTGATGTGGTTCATGGCTTCAGTGCATGGAGTATTTAATTGCTACCACAAGTAATTTTAGAACAAACGTTTTCTCCACCTTTGACCCATCATGATGTAGCTGAGGCTGACTTCAAGATTGTAACACAACCAACAATGACCTTGAACTCTTGATGCTCCTGCCTCCATCTCCCAAGTGCTAGAATTATGTGCCTGTGAGACCGTGACAGGCCTTTCCTGTCTTTCTTGATTGTGTCAGGAGGCTGTGTTGAGTGAGTGACTTGCATCAGCTAGGTCTGCTCTCCTGCGTGATGGTAAATGTCGACAGGTGGCATAACTGGGCTAAGAGACAAGCCTCTGAGCAGGTCTGCTACGGCATTCACAGGAAGGATTAGTTGAGAGAAGACCCTCTTCAAGTATAAAAAGGTCTGAGGAAAGAGCAGAGCTGCTCACTGCCTGCTTGGCTGGCTTCCTGCTGGCTGAGCCATCCCTAACTGATGTCAGAACCTAGCTTGTTCGGCCTTCCTGAGAGGACCGAAAACCTGATTCCCAGGTTCTTTCAGGCCTTTAGCGAGCACTGGGAAAGCAAAGGCATACAGCTTAGGCTCTGAGCAGCCACCAGGCTCTCAGCCGGTGCAGCATGCCGATGGCCATAGCTGGACCACGCAGCCACTCTCAGTGGTAAACCATTACAGTAAATACTTCTCTTTGGTTGGTGGTTGGTTTTTAGACAGGGTTTCACTATGGAGCCCTGGCTGCCCTGGAACTCACTATGTAGAGCAGGCTGGGTTGAACGCACAGACATCTGTCTGCTTCTGCCTCAGGAGGGCTGGGATTAAAGGAGTGTTCAACCAGGCCCAGTACAAATCCTGTTTTATAATATACATACATTTTGTTGGTTCTGTTCCTCTAGAGAACTTTAATACACCCTATAATAACAGATATGCATTTTTCAGAACATATGCATACAAGGACCTGGCTTTAATCTGTATACAATGCAGAAAATAATAATAATAATAATAATAATAATAATAATAATAATAATAATAATAATAATTAATAGTAATAATAATACAATAAAACGTAGCACGACTACGTTTATGGCATGACTATCTAAAAGCATTAGTTGTGAATGGTGCAGTATGTGAGTCATAGCTTAAGAAGTTTCTTTAAATCATAAAATTCCTCAGGGGTATTATTACATTCCTGTAATTACAACAGTCAGGAGGCAGGGGCAGGAGGATCTAGAGTTCAAGGTCAGCTTTGGCTATGTACTAAATAAGATACTGTTAAAACAAAACAAAAAATGGGAAAAAATCATTCACAGAACCTAATGGTATTGTACCAAACAAGCCTTGAAATCATGATTTCAAAGTTCCAAAAGTTCCAAAATGAGAAAACACGATACTGCGCACCTCAGAATATGTTGCAGGGCGATGCTCCCAACACTGGGTCAAAACTAAGAAAAAAAGCCCGCTGAACTGAATCGCCTCATTTCCAGCCTAGAGCACTCACAGTAGTGAGGAGACACTACCAAGACCGCAGCTGGCCTCGGTCCATCAACCCAGCACAGAGCGACACTACAGGGGCTCCTGGGTTCGCCACCTTTCAGGAAAGTGTGCGTTTAAGTCTACCAAGGTGCAGACCTGCCATGCTCATGTTAGGAGCACTCCAGCCTCGCACCCACCCAGGTGAACACCCACAGCCACCAGGCAGCAGAATGAAGGCACAAAGATCAAAAGGAGTTTGGTCCTTTTCAAAGTTATGATTCTTGAAAAATGGCGGACAAAACACAAAACAACAGAAAAACAAGACAAAAAAGGACTGGCCAACATCAGATTATTGGGTTGTTGGGGCAAGTTCAGAGGATACAACCCAGAGCCTTGCATTTATATGTATTAATTTCTGAGAGGGTTAAATAACTGTCCCAGTGTGGCTGAAGAGAATTTTAACATGGGTGACCCCATCATGACTTTAGCCATTGCAACCCCATACCGAAGCTTAGCCCCAAACAATGGTTTCCAATAATGTTTATTTAAACATTTAAATAGCAATTCTCTGATGGACTCTACTTTAACATTATATATATATATATATATGCTTTCAAAATGTAAAATGCTGATCATCTAAACATGATCAAACAAGTCTTGTATAGGAAGGGGAGGTGGGTTTAGACAATGAATGTATTGAAAGGAACAGATTACACATGAATTGCCTAAAATTTGTCTCAGTTGCTTCTTGTTTGGGGTCCCAGATGATCAGCATGTACTACAGAAGAGCTTTCTGTCCATCTGCAAATGTGGAAAAGGAGGTAGGGATGGCGTGAGAAGCCCCAGCCCCATTCACTGCTGCTGACTACGGGCAGACTTGCCTCTCTTGACCCTGGACGCCCTCTGAGAATGTTCCCTCGTGTATCTCCTTCTCTATCCAGGACATGGAAAAATAATAAGGTGAAAATGTTCTGAGAACTGGAAGAGGATTATAACATTTTAAAAATATATGCTCTAAACAGATACTGTTTTCCCCTAGTCAACATCTCTTATTTCTCAGTTCTTCTTCTAGAATTGTTCTTAAGCCACTCTGGGATACAGTTTGAATAGAAGACTCTGGGAGAAGATTATATTTTCAATTAGAGATTGTTTACTTTTCTATTTACTATATGGCATTAAAGAAAGGGTTTTCTACTAACTTTAAAAAGTTTAATTTTAATACCAATAAAATCAAAACATTATTTCTGGAATGTTCTTTGAGAACTAGAGATATTAAACATTTATAGTTCTATGGAAAACTTCTGCTTGATTAAAAAGAAAAACATAGCACATCACTTCTTATGTCCTAATTTCATTTCTGTTGCTTTAATAATAATATTTTAAAAAAAAAAACTGACAGAGGCAACTTACGGGAGAAAGGACTTATTTTAGCTCACAGTTGCCAGTTACAGTCCATCGTTAGGGAAGGAACCACAGACAAGAGCAGGGAGAAATGAATGCATGCATGCCTTTTAATCAGCTCAGCTTCTCTACTCTGACATAGTTTAGAATCCAAACAGAGAGTGCTGCTGCCCACTTTTATGCTGGGTCTTTACAGAAAGGAGACTGGTTCCTTGCCACGCCCACACCCACTGTGGGATCAGTTTGTGTGTAACTTCCGAACCTGCTCCTATAGCTCTTAAGTCACTGAAATCCGTATCTGTATTTAGTGGATCATGAAACTGCTTTGCAACATGCTCTCTTGATATCTTACCACGGCAGGTTAGAGGCTGCTAAGACAAACACAAGATCCTCTGAGCGTGCTAATCCATCCATCTGCACCAGTAACTCGGTCTTCATCCGAAGACTTCCCTCGTGTTCTCCCCTAAAGAGACAAGGAGACATGATTTCCTCTCGTGGCAGGGCCTTTACCCTCGTGACAAAGAGTGGTACCCAGAGCAATGGTCCTGTGACTGTGCAACAGGCTCCACTCTGGAAGCAAATGAATTCAAGAAAATGGGCTTTTCAGTTGACACAGAACTAAAAAACAACTGAAGGATTAGATTAAAGATAACCCACTGTGTCTACCTGATCCATTATTTTTAAAATGCCATAATTTACAGGCATAGTGGTGCCTTGGCACTTGTGATGCTGAGACAGGAGAATTGCCATGAGTTTGAGGCTAACCTGTGCTATATAGTTTCAGGGCAGCTTAGTCTTCAAAAGCAAAATTAATTAATTAATTGAAATGGCATAATTGAGAATAATCCCCTCATTTATAGAGCGGGCATAACATAGTTTTCATGTTTCTCACTATTTCTCTCTGTGTGTGCATTTCTACAAAATCCTTACACTGAATTTGCTTTATTCTCTCCTAGTGTAGTGCATGCTAATGACATAGATGAGAGCCTGTCTTCTGTACACACTGTGTTCTCAGCCTCCGTGACCACTGCCTGAGTCCCTTCCATCAAGAAAGACCATACCATGAGGAGCTGAGCAGCCCAGTCAGTGTAAACCAGAGCACGCCCAGCAGACTGTCCCTCACTAACACAGATTTAGTTCGGTAACGAAATGTCTTCCTTAGACAGCACAATACTCAACCTCTTGTGCTCGTGCACAGACGCGACCCACATAACGTGCTGCGGCTGAGTGTTCTCATCCCAGATGCTGGGGAGCAGCGGTGTTCCACAGTTTTGAATTTTGGAATGTCTGCATATACATGAAGAGTCATACTGGGGATAAAACCCAAGTCTATGCGGGAAATTAATTTCTATTTTCACATAGTGCCTTTTCACAGAGCCTGAAAGTAATATATAGGATATTTTATACTTTCACACATGAAACAAACTTTTGTGGGGTGGAGTTTCACACCTTGTCTGCCAGCACTAGGAAAGGCTCAGAATGGGTTGGTTCAGACACTAGATTTACACACTGGGGCTGCTCCACCTGTGTATGGCTTGGTAGAATCTGAGAGAAAAGACTCCCACCATACAATTATATGTTCATATAGACTGTGCCCATAATCAGGCATAGTATGTGTACATGTGCCAATTTTAATGTAACTGTCCATACTATTGGCATGACATGGCCTATGATATGAAAATAGTTGCCCTTCTTTATTGTCTGTTTTTGTTTTTGTTTCTTCAGATAGGCTGTCATCTTGGCTGGTGATTGGAACTCACTCGGTAGACTAGACTGGCCCAGAACTCTCAAAGATTTGCCTGCCTCTGCCTCTCAACTGCTAGATTAAAGGTGTGCAGTACCATGGACAGCTTAACAAGCACACTTGCAATCAGGGATGGTACCGGAAGAACCAAATTAGCAACCTCTAGGCCACAGGAAACTCTAGGAAAGATGATCCACAAGGCAGGCAGAAGGCCGCCACCGGAGTTAGGCAGGTCAGAGAGGCCTGTCTGCAGAGGGAGAAACAGCTGGAGGAGTCAGGGGCCTCCTGCTTGGGAGCAGCTGGTTGCTCCTGCCAGGCTGGTATAGCAAGGCAGAGGGCTGAAGCTTGAGTCTGACAAGGCCAAGTATGGCCAGGTCACTGTCCTTTTTCAATGAGACTACGCCCATCTTGGCTGCATCCTCATCTTTTGGTTTCCCTGCTGGAAAAACGGTTTCCAATGAGTATAAACTGCACAAATTATTTTCTAATTGTACTTTTATATTTCCAAGAAGCAAATTCTTTGCTTTTTATTACCATTGGATTTGTCTTGATAAAGACTATTAAAGGTCATTAATAAATACAGCTGCAGAGAGATTTTCCAGACACATGTTTTTCTTTTTTCAAGCTAGAGGTACCAACTATAACAAATTATCACTGATCTTTACAGATCAGTCAAGTTGATAGAATGCTTTCCTAGCAAATCCAAAGCCCTGGGTTCAGTCTTCAGCACTGTATAATCACACCTATATTCACACACTTGGGAAGTAGAAGCAGGAGAATCAAAAGTTTAAGAGTACCCTAAGCTATCATTGAGTTCAAAGCCAGTCTAGGACACATGAAAACTCTAAGGATCTTTGAGAAAGCTACTATAATATGAAAACCCACTATTTTATGTTTCATACACACGCATACACACACACATATTCATATAAAAGTATAATTAGAGTTACCCTTCACAGGGAATTATATTCATCCCAGACCCCATCCATAGGATGTCAAATAAAAAGCCCCAAAGTGTCCTCTCTCTCCTCTGTTGTTAGTCAGAGGGATCCTGGAGACCCGCAAAACAATGCAGGTTATTGCTGCTTTTCCTTATTGCTGACCAGAACTTGATCATAAGAGCCTATTCCTAAAGACAGCACACATACTGGCCACAGGACATTGAGAAATCACACTGGTGTTGACCTACTAGGTAACACTACTACAGGGTACTTTGCAGGGTGCTGGGGGGCAGATGGGAGTCAACAGATGGCCATTGTTGTCTTGTTTTTCAAGACAAGGTCTCACTATGTTTCGCTGGCTGTCCGGAATTCCCTGTGTTGACCAGCCTGGCCTTGAACTTACAAAGATACACCTACCTCTGCCTCCTGAGGCCTGGGATTTAAGGTGTGTGCCACTATGCCCAGCTTGGGAGTCAACAGTCTTATCCAGCTGTGAGTCCTGTAAACTGCAATATCAACTGGTATGGCAATATGACTGTCACATGGAAGTTATGGGGGTGATCAACTGCTTTCTGACTGGATTTAACTGCAAATCTAGCTAATAACCCAAGGTTGGGGAGTGCACAGGCCCCAGGGGCAAACCTACTACTATCATTTTGCTAATTGGACATAGGGTAAAACTCCCCTGTAAATTCATAACCCTCTCTATAGATCAGTGGTGCCTATGCTTTATCAAGAAGTTCCTCTGTGCAGTAGATCGCAGTTAATGCAGAAACTCAAACTGCTCAAGGTGCCTATGGCATGTTCAGCCACCACTGGAACAAATCTGTATCACACCCTTACCTCCCTAAGGCTCAGGGACAATTTCAGAAGACAGAGTAGGACTGTAAGAGCCGGAGGTCAGGGAGGACTGAGTGAGACAGCATCCTTTGGACATGGCTGGACCTCTACAGCTGCGAACTCACATCAGCTGTGAATGGCCACACCAGACCTGCACAAAGTCAGGCTAATGAGCATTCCAGCATGGAGTGGAAGGAGTTCATGAGCTCCTATCCCTAACTGAGGAGCAGGGGGCAGTTGATGGCTTTCAGGGGAGAGAACGCCAGTTTTCCTTAAGGACATGGCTTCTGGTGAGTTGACTGTGCTCCAGCAGACAGCCCCGCACTCAGAAGTACACAGTCGCACAAATCAGCCTGTGAGTTCTTAAACAAATTATCATTATTTTAAAGAATACATGAAGTCAGGGGCAAGAGGATCTGGAGAAATTAAAGGGAGTAATTGGGGGCTAATGTGTTCAAAATATACTGTATGAAATTCTCAAACAATCAATAAAAATATTAAAAAACAAATTTAAAAACTTACAAAGTGGGGGTTGAGGGGACGGCCCTGCTGGTAAACTGCTGCTATGGAAGCATGAGGACCTGCATTCTGATCCAGATCCATATAGAGGCAGACATGCGCACACACACAGACACTCACATTCACACACACACACACATACACACTCACACACACACACACATACACACTCACACACACACACATACACACTCACACACACACTCACACACATACACTCACACACATATACATACACACCCACACACATATACATACACACCCACACACATATACACACATACCCACACATACACACTCACACACATATACACACATACACACTCATACACACACTTACATACACACATATACATACACTCATATACACACCAAATACATACACACGTTTAGAATACATATACACATATACACACATACAGATGGACACACACAGACTCAAACACACAGACACACGCACATACACATACATACATACATACACACAGAGATACACAAATATGACACATGAACACAAATGTTACATGCACCAGCACATACATACGTCCACATATACCACATGTGACATACACTCACACACATACACACATGAACACATGTGTTACATGTACCAGCACACACATGTGTATACACATGACACATACATTCACAAAACCAAGCAAGCAGGCAAGCAAGCAACCCTACTTGGCCTTCTGCAAGTATAACCCAAAAGCTTTAATAACACAGAGGTCCTGCTTCCTGCTGGGGACATTTTCTGACACTTAATCTTTAGAAAGAACGCTTGTGACAGATGTCAAAGAACCACTGGTTCCCTTGGCCTGAAGGACTATCTCCAGAGAATGGAATGCAGAAGCAGCCCACCCTGTGGCTTCACGGGCGAGCCCCGCTCTCCACCGGCAGCCCTCTGGCTGGCATGGCAGCCTGCGATCCTGTGGCTGGTTGACCTTTAGCCTTGACAGCCACTCTGTGGGGAGGGGAAAGGAGGAGGATAGTTCCTCCCCTTATAAGAGCCATTTAAATCAGTTAACAGAATCTAATTTAAAGACTTTTCCATGTGTCTGCAGAAAATTTGTGGGCGTATTAATAGGCTCCTTCTGCTGAAGGAGCAGAAGGGTGGACTTCTGACCATCACATACACTTACAAAGAGGGGGAAAATGATCACACACACACACACACACACACACACACACAAATAAACAAACAAAAAACCTGTCTGTTACCCGGGAGCCATGCCTCTCTGACTCATCACAGATTCCAGTTCATCCAGGAAGATCGTGGAGGGGGCATGATAGCGGGCAAGTTCAAATAGCACCTGAGTAGGGAAAAGCAAAGGGGGTCATGTACTTGAACTTTAGTCCTCAAGTGTTCCCAGATTAGAAGTTTAGAGCTGCTGAACTAACACGCACTCATTGCACACAGTACTCGGGGGCAGCTTTAGAGCCACCACCGTTATTTCTCTAGTTCTACCCTACGGGTTTGGATGGGTTCGGATGGGTCCGGTTTTTTCCATTTATCATCTGTCAAAACTACAGCCAGAGAGAGTAGGTGCCTAGTTCAAGGTTACTAATGATAAATGTGAGAACCGAAGATAAAAATCAGTTCCCAAGCTTTTGGTTGCCTAGTTAACCCCTGGAGACACCCCGCCAGAAACACGGTCCACGTGGACACAACGTCCTTTATAGGACCATGTAGTGGCTTTCCTCCTTTCATCTCTGGGGACACTAGGATTATTCTCAGAAGGAAAAAGTGCAGGAAAAGGACAGTCCTGGAAAACAAGCTGAAAATGTTCTTTTCTGTTCTCCACATGGTTCCACAGGGCCCTCACCCCACCTCAACACTGCCTGCTAGGATCTGGTTCTTTGTAAATTTTCTCTTTTGTTTGTTTGTTATCATTACTGGGTTTTTATTGTTGTTTTGAGACTGTTTAAGCTGGACTGGAACTCACAATAGAGCTCAGGTTGGCAGGTGAACTCATGATGATCCTCCTACCCTACCTCCCAATACTAGAGGATCCAATTCTCAAAAGCAATTCTTGATGGAACAAGATGTTCTGTTCCAGAGTAAAATATTATAGACTGAACAAGAACAAGAAAGCAGCCAGCAAAAGAACAGACATAAAAACAAAATAACGAACTCGACAGGGAGAGATAGTGGCGGTGAAGAGCATAAGACCTAAATCTTTCTGAGTCCTGCAACTCATCTCTTGAGCACCATATCCAACTCCTAACTGTTGATTGGAGAATGCAGCAGAGATTGGAAAAGAGATTTTGTTGTTGTTGTTGCCATGGGAGATTTATTCTCTGTGTCATTTAGTGTTAGACAAGCATCACAGGCTAAATAAGAGGGGAGAAGCTAGCACGTGGCTTTCAGGAGCAGCAGCAGCAGAATATCCCTCTGAGGCCTCCCTGACACTGAGGAGGCACTCCCTTACTTTCCCCATGACTCAGGATATAGTAAGTCTAAGGTGATGTGTCATTGCTTCTGCTTCACAGAATCCTGATTCATAAAACCTGGATCCTTCTCGTAAACTGAGAGAAGGATGGTGTAGCTATTTCCTTTCATTTATTCCTTCCTGGAAAAAAAGGGCGGAAGCTAAAGAGACTCAGGAAATAAAGGAAACTTACAAACTTCAGGAAATAAAGGAATTTACAAGACTCAGGAAGTAAACAGAACTTACAAGACTAAGGGAACAAAGGGAATTTATGAGGCTCAGGGAATAATGGGAATTTACAAGGCTTAAAAAGTAAAGGGGGCTTACAAGGCTCAGAGAATAAAGGGAATTTATTAGGCTTAGGAAGTAAAGAGAACTTACAAGACTCAAGGAATATAAGGAATTTCAAAGGCTCAGGGAATAAAAAGATTTACAAGGCCCAGAGAGTAAAGGGAATTTACAGGACAGGGGAGTGAAGAGAACTTACAAAACTCATGGACTCAAGGGAAATTAAATGGCTCAGGGAGCTCCTGAAATATAAGATTCACAAGGCTAATGCCCATTGTTGTAAAAGCATAAGCAACTGGTCTGAGATTAGACTCTGTGATTGGTGGAGCTTTCTGCAAGGTGTTCAGGGAACAGCATACATGCAGCTTCCATGAATCATCCCTATGTAGAATGGGCTTTTTGGTGATGCAGATACAGATACTTTTACTTGTATGACCACTCATCTATGCTCCAATAAACACACTGGCTGAGTAAGCTAGACTTGAGTACAATCATTTATTTAGTATATTATCCATTTTCTACCTTATCTGGGGGGATGCACATTTGTCCACACCTTCCCAGGAAAAGTCATGCAACAGGGCAATTCTGGGGGACTTATCAGCAACCCCTCTCTGATACAGAGGAGACCAGCCAATTAGAAGCAAGTAATTTTTCTTCATTGTCACAGAAAGAGAAGCCCAATAGTACCTGATGTTACAATAGCAGCAATCTGTCCAATGAAGAAGAGGAGATTAGAACCATACTTCAGAGCTATGCAGAGTTTTAAGGAGCTCACGCAAGTGTAGGAGACCAGGACTCTTTCCTACACATGACGTTGGAAGAACTAATTGTGCTTCGGGTTCAGGTCTCCATATTGCTCAAATCACTGAGTTCCCATTCCCAGAGAATAAAGGGAACTATGCTAAGTGCTTCTAGACGCATTAGTCGAAAATGCCCAGAAGCACTTGGAGGAAGTTAAATCATAAGGGGAGGCAGATGTAACCATCAACAGGTGTATACATTTGCTAAAGAGACCACTCAACTATTCAGTAATGTTCAACTCCTAAGAGGCAGGAGCATGAGGAGAGGAGGGAGGTTCACAGCCCAAAGGTTCCCTATAAATAACTCCATAATTGGAATAGAAAGAGAAGCAAATGGGAGAAAGCGCTTTTCTGGTTTAGGGGAAGATCCTAAAGGGTTTGCTTTCTCTAGCATCCTTCACAGGAAGGATCTGACAGAATGACTAAATCCCTCCAGGTGAGGATCTTCCCAGCTCTCAAAAACAAGGAAAAAGTGACTTCTAGAAGGAACTAAGATGAGATCCTTCAAGACCAGCAGAGGTCTCCAGTTTCTTCTCAAATATTTTTCAAATGTTTAAATTAAAATGTATGTCTCATAAGAAAAAAGAAATATAAGTATCTTCTAAAGTCACTTGTCAAATGCTTAAATTAGGGGCCTGGGAGATGGCTGAGTCAGTAAAGCACCTGTCATGTGAACAAAAGGACAGGCGTTCATATACTCCGAGTCAAAATATATGCTTTCATGCATTTCTCAAAAAGCTCGTTTCTTAAGAGATGGAAAACTGGGGGAGGAATCATTGCCTTGCTCCTAGAATTCTGACAAAATAATACTTAAGCAGAAAAATTTAAAAATGCTCACAGAGACGGGAGTATTCTTGTGATCTGGTGTTTCTAGCTACTCAGCACTAAACAAGAAACCCTTTCATCTTCCTCTCTGTTGAGGATATTTATGATATATCTAAATATATCCACCCAAGGCTTGTCCAGGGAGTCTGCTATCTTACTTTGAACGTGCCTTTCTTTGAGCAGTTTTCAATGTCTTGTGCTCATGGTTCAGAAAAATTTCCATGACAGGACATGATTACGCCATCCAGGGGAGAGGATCTTTTGTGAACTGGGTTACTGTCGCTCAGCACACAGAAATTGAATGCACACATCGCAAAGAGTTTTAGGCTGACAATGATTGTACTTAATTGAATCTCATCCCTCTGGAGTAAGGTTAACCAGAACCCCTGGCAGTCACACATGTAGAAGCAGAGAGACAGGAGTCCCTTTAGACATGACCTGAGCTAGCACAGTGATATAGTCCTATAGTCCTTAGGGGAATAAGGTAATCCTAGTAGAAGGATCATGAGTTCAAGGCCAGCCTGGGCTACATCTATAAAAAGACCTTGTAACAAAACACCACCACCACAATAAACAAAATAACAACAGGAAAGAAACACAGTGTTGAAGAGGTGATAAAAATTCATTAAAACTTAAACATTTGAAAAACTTGAAAACAATATCAGGGGATAAGGATCTATTTTAGCGTTAACAGCACTTGCCTGGCATGCATAAGGCCTACATTTAATCCCCAGAAAATGAATGAATGAATAAATAAACAGTCAAAGTAATAAATAATAGGTAGGGTTTCATTTTTTTTAAAACAACCCTTTTAAAATATTCCATTATATCTTCTAAGCAGTCTATAACATTTGGAAATTAGTTTTATGAGGGACCATAATTCCAGGGTAGTATTTTAGGATAGTTTCCTTTCAGAAAGTATATTTTATATTCACTTAGTATTGATTACTTCTCAGTCCATCCATTGCAGGCAACAGTCTAACAAGATTTCTGGCACGGCTTCCCTTTGATGGTGGGGTGTACATCATAAGCAGCTGTTCTCTTAAGGTGACAGGAAGATAGAGCAAAATGTTATAGTATAAGAGATGCCATGGGTCAGGAACGAGATATTGTAAAGATGGAAACAGCCTTTCAAGGAGAACACACTGTGCAGGCAATGAGCACAGAGGAAGAAAAGTTGCTCAGAACATCCAAAAGAATAATTAAGTTTTAAGTCTCTCAGTTCCTCCACAGAGTACTTAGTGTATGGTCTGGCACACAGCAGCGGCCTCGCACTAAACGTTAACTGGATATACTGTACTCGCTTAATAATGAATGTCTCTTGAGTGCAGAAAACACGAGGCCACTTTAGAGACTTTTATTCTAGCTTTTATTCCTAAATTGCATGAATCAAAAAAAGGGCTGTTGGTAAAATTCCAAAAGAAGAAAGTCCATGCTTTGCTGATGGCAATATGATTAATATCCACATGTAATAGTAAATCCATTTCCTAGGTTTTGGTAGTCACAGTCCAAGTGGAACCTTAAAACAAACCTTAACATAATGTTGTACTCCAGTATTCTGAAAAACTGACTTTTAAGAATATTAAGAATTTCTACCTGAAGCTAGGTGTAGATCCCAGCACTTAGGGAGGCAGAGGCAGATAGATGGATCTCTGTGAGTTCAAGGCCAGCCTGTTCTACAAAGTGAGTCCAGGACAGCCAAGGCTACACAGAGAAACTCAGTCTTGAAAAACCAACCAGCCAACCAACCAAACAAACAAACAAAAGAATTCCTACCCGAACAAGTTTTTCTGAATCTCCTCTCCACTTGCTGACAATGGTGGATGCAGAAATGTTAAAGAAGGTCGTTTTACATTCAGTGGCCACAGCTTTGGCCAGTAAAGTCTTCCCTGTACCTAGGGACACATGAAGATAAACATGAGCAGGTGCTTCTGCTCCTTGCATCACTGACAGGCGCAATCCAGTCTCCCACAGGCATCCTTCGCCCTGTCCTCAGGCAGAGATAGAGGGGTAACACATTCACAGCACACACACTTCTAGGACTCCAGCAGAAAGATGTGTTTACCTGGAGGGCCGTAAAGCAGCAGTCCTTTCCAGGGGGAGAGAATTCCTGTAAATAGCTGTGGGTACTTTGAGAACAAAGAACAAGATGAGCATGAATACACTAGCCTGCACAGCCTGAGCAGGGAGGGCAGGGGTGTTGGAGCAAAACAGCCACTCTACAACTCAGGCCCACTTTTTAAAAGCGTGCTTCTCTTTGCATATCTTCTTTGTCCCACTGGCATTTTCACAATGGGCAAGAATATCTGACTTACTTTTTGTGGCTTCTGAAAAGCAATAAACAAATAACTAAGGAAAAGAAAGGTATATACAGCTATTTTCTTCTCAGTGGCGATAGTTACTTCTTAGGTATATAATTTCCTTTTCCTCTGTGCTCTCTATGTAGAGCATTTAGCTCCTTTCTAAAGCTGTAAAGAAGACATAAATGCAGGATGAATCCTAGAACCAGCTCAAAAGGGGGTTGCCCATGTGGGGTAATGGTAAAGCCTGCAGTAGAAGCCAGGGACACTGACTCCCAGAGGATGTGCACAGATTTCAGTTGAGTCTCCTCCATAGCTCAAGCTCAAACCTTCTAAAAACTGGACAGGACTGGTAGAAGACTGGGGAAAGGCAAACACTGGTGAAATTACTACATGTTCTTAGTGCTACATGTTCTCTCGAGTGCTGTTGGCAAACCTATTACCGTTGCTTATGGGGTACATAATACCATGGAAATAACATGTACAGAAAAGGGGGTGGGGCTGTAGCCCTGTGGTACATCTATTGCCAACATGTGAAAGGCCATGGGTTTGTTCCCCAGAATAACAAGAAAATAACATATCCAGAGTGCTGAGGAAATGTTCTAGTCTTTCTAAGTTTGATGCTATGGTTTCTTAGTTCTGACACCAATATATTTCTTACTCATATCTGAACAGAAGAAAAAAAGAGGTAAAAAAAAATTCTGATTTAATGGTTTTTGTTCCCTTAGAATTAAATAAAGTACCCCCCAAATTGAAAGCTTCATGGAGTCAGTGGCACTAATACAGCTGTAGGTGTCTTTAAATGAGTATGCAATCCTGGCCTTAAGAAATTATAGTTGCTAGCCCCAAATTCTGCATAGCTGCTCCCAACAAAAGAAGGTAGAGTGTTTCTCTACCACCTGCATCTGGGCCTGGCCCTCTGTTCTTGCCTAATAGGATGCTGGGAAATATAAAAAGTGGTTTGAAAATATAAGATGAGCAAATGGAAGAGGAGATAGGTAAAAGCTCACACGTTAGGACTTGACCTTTCTTTCCTCTTTCTAAGAACGTGTGACCAAGCCTAGACCTGCTTCTTACAGGAGGAGGAGGTCCGGGATGAGCCTGGCTGCACGTTTCTCCCCACTTCTCACCCAGTCTTCCCAGTCACTCTGGCTGGTGCCATGGGCATGGGACAGGGCAGGCAAAAGTACCCTGTGGAAACAATGAGCTAGCCTAGCTGGATCCAGCCCAAACTGCCCATCCACAGAAGGACAAATGAATATCTATTTTAGTGGTTGGTTGTTTTAAGGCCCTGAGTGGGCTGGTCTATTAGATAGCAAACAGTATGCGATAATCATCATGAGTCAGAAGGCTCGTTACCTACTTCTGACCGTTTTCTACATTACTCACAAAACAGGTGGACAAATAGTAAGGGCAGGACTCTTCAAGAGGGGTGAGGAGGTGGTTGGCCATGGCTCTGGTAGGAACTGTTTACTCTTCGTAAGCAACGGAAGCAAAGACCTTAAAGGGACAGTTGGGGTTAGGGCTGAGGGAGGACCTAGAGCAGCACAATGAGAGGCTTCTCATCCTAGCAAACTGTTAGGGAGGCAAGCTAACTGGTCATCACTTGAAAAACTGTATATCCACAACAGTCTTGGATACTCAGTTACCACTCAGCAGACACTTCCTTCAAACCAATACAGAATGTGATGTTTGTTTGTTTGTTTGTTTGTTTGTTATTTGAGACAGGGTTTTTCTGTATAACAGAGCCTTAGCTGACCTGGACTTGTTTTGTAAACCAGGCTGGCCTCAAACTCACAGAAATCTGCCAACCTGCCTTCCAGGTGCTGGGATTAAAGCCATGAACCAGTATGGCCAGCCTAGAATGTGCTTTTTAAAAAAGATTTATTTTCATTGTATGTATGTTGTATGTCAAGTACATGCAAGTGCCAGAAGAAGGCACTGGATCCCCTGGCACTAGAGTTATGGGCTGTGTGAGCCACCTGCTGTGGGTACTGGGAACCTAACCAAGTCCTCTCCAAGAACTGCAGCTGGAGAATGATTTGAAGTGGTACAGAACAGACTGTGCTTGATGTTCCAGCACTAACAAAGTGTGGCCCGGTCAGAAGGCTGACTTGTGAACAGATAAATCACCATGCCTTCCCTTCTGGACATAGCTTGCCCAGTTGATAGTGATGAGAAACATGGCTCCTCATACTTACCCTTATTGGGTACACAACAGCTTCTTTGACTAACTGCTTGGCTGCGTCCAGTCCAATAATGTCATTCCACTTTATGTTGGGATTATGGAGATAAATGTCCTGTAATGTACATTGGATTATTTTGTTAAAACTAATGTTTTCCTCCACTTATGAAATAATACTGCAGCACAGAACACATGACTTAATAGTATATAAAGTGCTGGTGATAAAAAAAAAACAAAAACAAACATTTCACGAGTTACCTCACTCAGGAGAACAGATAGAGCAGAGATTGAGGGAATGCCCAAGCAAAGACCCACCCTATGGGAGAGTGCCAGCCCCTGACACTATGAGTGATACTCTGCTAAGCTTACAGACAGGAGCCTGACAAAGTTGTCCTCTGAGAGGTGCTTCAAAACAGATGCTGAGACTCACAGCCAAACATTGGGCAAGGCATAGCAAGTCTTGTGGGAAAGTGGGATGAAAGACAAAAGGACCTGGAGATGACAGCAGCTCCACAAGAAGACAAACAGAGCCATCCAGGGTGCAGAGGAGCTTGCTGAGGTGAAATATCTACCAAGGACCATGCATGATCTGGACCTAGGCCTCCTACAAAGATGTAGCAGATGGGCCTCTTAGGCTTCAAGTAGGTACTCTAGTAAGGGAAGTGGGGACTGCATCTGACACAGACTCACTTGCCAGCTTTTTTATCCTTTCCCCTGTAGGGACTGCCTTGCCAGGCCACAGGGGAAGAGGACACGCTCAGTCCTGATACAACTTGATGAGCTGGGGTGGATGGGAAAGGGAGCTCAAGGGGAGGGGGAGAGAGAAGGGGAGGCAGAGAGAGGGTAAGACTGGGAGGGGTGGAGGATGTAAAATGAATAAAAAATATATAATAAAAAATGTTTTGTGAATATTATAATGTAGACATATGCATGCATTATAATCTGGGATCAGTTCACCAAAAAGATGGCATGAAAGTATTCAATGATTTTCCCTAAAGAAGGTATATATTTAGGAGGGGGAATCTAACAGTGAGCTAAGCCAATAGCAACCTGCACTGATTTATGACCACAGTCAAGAAGTACCTTCAGATTACACTAATTTTTAGTGAAAAGCAGATCCTCACCTATGCTGGGTGTCTGTCTAACTTTATGATTTGGCAAACGCTTTCTTAATTTGTTACATAAAGGAGATACTGTTCCTCGGCTCCCCTGAAACCCATTTCCTTTTCCCTAGTGAGCAGTCCCTGCTTCCAGCTGGAGCGATTGCTTCTACAACATTCCAGGAGGCCAACAACCAAGTAAGTGCTGTTTCCCCTCTTACAGCAGAGTCCCGGAGCAACTGCCCTAGGGTAATCAATTAAGTAGCTTTTACTGATAACTAATTTACAGTTTCCCAATTTCAATTTCACAAGATGCCTCTGAACAGTCACTCAGGGGCCTTTCTCGATAGGAGCTATTTCAGGCAAACAATGTCTAGAGTATTACTTTTTTTAAAAGGTCTTTTCCTATGTCATTCTAGCTAAAAAAAAAAAAAAAACAAAACAAAACAAAACAAAAAACAAAAACAAAACTTTATCTGCTTTTTTTTTAAGCAAGTGATATGTACACATGTTTCAGAAATATAAAAGTATGTTTTTAAAATGGCATAAGATGTTATGGTCCTACATCTACCTCCTCCCTCCAGGGTCCTCCAGCAGGAGTTCCACTTTAATGAGAAGCATTTCACAGAAATGATTGGGTCACACATTCTGTACGTCATCCACTCTCGGCTGGGGTGGTGGAGAAAGGACCCAGTCTTCCAAGTTGTGTGTTTTGAGACAGTGTCTCACTTGGTAACCCTGGCCTAGAATTCTCTATGCAGAAGGAATCCTCCTGCTTTGTCCTCTCGAGTACTGGGATGACAGGGATTAGAGCACACATGATTCCAGCCTCTTAAAACTCAGGGAGAACACACATCTCTTTTTGAGGCCTTTCTTAGGAAATCTTGGCACACAACGAAGATCCATTGACTCTGATATTTGAGCCATCCATAGATGGTTCCATCTCTCCAAAGTCTATGGTTGACACTGAGCTTAACAAGGTGGTGCTTAATTTCCCAACCCACAGTTCTTCCTTATATACATGCAAGGTTATCTGCCACAGCTCACTAGGGCATGCCTTGTGAGGGAATGATCTCTTCACCACTGAGCATTCAAGAAGGAACTTGAATGTCTGCTTCCTCTGCTAGTATGGAATCCTTTTGGGTCACTTCCACGCTCTACTTTGAACTTCAATCATGTTATCATTTTGCAAAACCAGGAAAGAGAGGACAGATTTGTTGTGGGTATGGAAAGTGCTATCCTTTGCTTCCTCAGGCATCCTGACTCATTTTAATCTTTATCCTCCTTCACTGGTTCAAACCTTATAGCTGGCCTCTCTTATCCACTGATTTGCCATCATCTACCTCACTGAACAAACTACCCATCAATACACATGATGACCTACCCCCTCTGAGTGATGTTATACTGGCATTCTCGTCTCACTAGCCAATTCTCCACCCTGGACACTGCTCACAGACCTTCCTCTACAGCCCTGCCCCTCTTCCCACTCCACCTTTATTCCAAGAACCTTCCAGCTCCCTCTACTCTTCCAGTTTTTCCTACATCCTTTTCTTCATGCTTTCTGAATGGTTGTACCATTGATGCAAACAGAGTCCCTTGAGGTAAGCCCTGGGCCTGAGTCTCTCCCCTCTGTCTGCAGGTCCTCTGTATGCCTGCTGTGGTTGTGCAGTGGACATCTGCTGACTGAACAGAGAAACAGAGTTACCCTTGGTTACTCTGAGCTGCTGTGAACTTCTTGGATAACTTTTAAGCATCTTATTAAGCCTACCTCAGTTTCAGCCTTCAATTAAATTGAGATCAGTGGAAATTAGGAAAGTCTTCTGTAATCAAGAATCTTGCCTAAAATCATATCGCTAGAAAGAGAAGGCTCTAGAAATCAAATACAGGACAACTGATTTCAAGGCTGTCTCACTGGCCATTAATTTTCCCTCTCTTTAGGTTCCAGGCTGCAAGTTTGAAGTATCTGTAGCCTGGTGGTGAAAATCTTTCTTACAAATCTTGTTACATTCATGGAAATTTCCAAGTATAAGGTCACCACACTTCCATACCCCTGCATTTCCAGACTCTTTAAACAAAATGTACGTGTGTGCCTTGCTTTTCTTAGAACCTTCTTCCTCAGCTCTGGGCTGCTGGAAAGCCTTTCACCTGTCCCTTCCTTTCTGCATCTTTTTTGCTGTCTCTTTTCTTGGCCCCTATAGTAGGATGGTGGGCTTTTTCTATTGTAATTTTATGATTCTATAATTTATTTATCATGCATTATTGTGCCTCTAAACAATATGAGTGCCTCTGCAAGTGGGGGCACTTTATAAATAAATGATCATATTTATTGTTATTAATAAAAGAAGCAACCCACAATGCTCCAGGAGCCCTGGTCTGCCTCCATAAATTTGTGAATTGAATAGCAGATCTTACCCGGCTCACCACCGCTGCCAATTCTCGCATCTCACTGTTCATGCCAATAAATGCACTCAGAGGTTTCAGCAAGCGTTCCTGGTGGGAGGAGCAGATAGGCTGGCATCACAAAACTGCTTCATAATTTAGGAAGAAAAACAGGATCTTGGCAAAACAAATGGCCACTGGTTGCTATGACCTTTAACTAGATCTCAAAGTTCTGTGGACTCAGAATGACACTTCTAGAAGGTCCACTAGGTTTGGGCAGTTTGAAAGTAGAGGCACAGGTCTTGGTCACTTACTGATGGGTCCGGGTTACATTCAAAGGTGTTCAAGGCAAAGTCACTAGTGGCTCCTTTGATAGCATCTGAGAGCAGCTCCCGGAAGTCAATGATTTGGCCCTAAAAAGGAGTCTTGGTTACTTAAGCCATAAACACACGAGAGCAGAGTAGCCTTAGTAGCTGTGTGTCTACAAATGTATGTCAGGCAGACCTCATGTCTTAAGAGAAAGCTGAACTATTGCTGAATAAGATGATGTGTTAAAGTCAGGACTCGGTAAAAAAGAAAACTAATTCTTCAGAATGAAGTTAGATGACTAAAATGTATAGGCATTTTGCATTGCTGACACTGATCTGCTTCCTTACAAGCCTGCTTGCCCTGTCTGACCCCACCCTTTTAAAACATTTACACACAGAAGAAACCACTAGGTCATGGATAGAGAGAGCTCCTGTGTGCTGACTGAATTCACCTACATCATTCAGGTCAGGATGGCCTGGGACAAAACAGGCAAGGTTTTAAGCCCATGAGGATCACGTCCCATAGTGGTGGGTGACATTTTTATGTTGTTTCTGTGGAGGGCAGCCAGAGGAAGTAAACAATTCGCCCAGGGCCACAAGATAACAAAGGACTGAGGCCGGGACTCAAACCCCGATATTCACTATTCTGTTTGATTCTGAGATGTCCTCCAAAGGGCCATACATGTGAGTACTTGCTCCTAAGTGGCACTAGTGGCACTCTTTTTAGAGGCTGTAGGCCTTTTGGGACATGGTGCCTGCCTGGCAGACATTGGCCACTACCATCTATAGTGAACCTGTGAAGGTTACGCTTACCTCTGATTCAAGTCCAGCTTTCTGCATACTGGCTGGCCACCAGGGAAGTTCAACTACAAGCTCTCACAACCAGAGACAGAAGCCACCCACCATGCCCTGACTGCAATGATGGACCTCCCCTGAAGCAGGGAGCCAAATTCTCCCTTAAGTTGCCTCTGTCAGGCCCTGGTCACAATCCAATGAGTAACTTCCATATTCTTCCATGCTCCTGGTACTGTTTCCCTTAGAGTCAGGAAAGGAAATCAGCAGAGCAGGTAAGACATGTTTATAATCACCGGTGTTCACCAAGTGTAATAGGTAAAGAGAGAAGGCTCTCCCCTCCTTCTCACATTTAAAACAGATAGTGTCGTGGTTTCCATTTTACAAATTAAAAAGAAAAAACCCGTGAGGTTTGGTGAACAGCTTGACCACAGCCTATCCACTGTGGACACCCATGCCTGTGCTCCAAAGAACAACATATTCTTAAATTTTTCAGAAGGCACTAGAATCCAAAGCCAGAGTCCCTAACATGGTGACAAGAGACGCTCTTGGGGGAAAACCCCCTAGGCGGTGTCACTCGGGCCATTAACATTTAAAAATCTAGGGGCAGGATGTGGAGGGAGTCTACCTACATTTTACCCTAAAGGCATTTCTGCTGGAAACAGAATTTATAGCCAGACTATTTCAAAGGTTAACTGCTGGGTTAAATAGTCCCTTCCTTGTGACTCGATCAGCGGCACCTGTTTCTTTTAGTGTCAGGCATTCACAAGAGACTAAAGCCACAAAACTGCTGGGTACACCACAGGGGATTAAGAATTTGACAGAGGCAGTGAAGACTAACAAGGGACCATTTTCCAGTGGGAGGCAAATGCATCATCTCTGGCAGCAGTCATTTCGCTGGGGCCTGCCAGGAAGCCATGCAGCCAGGAAGGCAGCTCCCTGCACTGTGCAGGGTCAGTGGGCCTGGGAGCCCTTCCTGCACACACCACAGCAATCAGTCTGTGGACAGAGCAAGCAACACTAAACCAGCAGCCCATGGTTCAACAACCTGACTGAAGGAAAGGAGTTAAGGAAGAACAATCTGGAGGGTCCCTCAACAGAAACAATGCTCCTCCTTGACAAAGGGTCCAATACCCCTACCTGGTGTTACATCCTATCCATCTGTGGCTTTTCTCCTGAAGAAACTATTCTTTACAAAGCCAGACCTGAGTTCATCAGAAAAAGGCAGAAATACCTGACAGTGCAAACTTTAATCCCAGAACCCAGGAGGCAGAAGCAGGTAGATCTCTTGTGAGTTTGAGGACAGCCTGCTCTGTATAGTGAACTCAAAAAAGAAAGGAAGAAGGAAGGAAGAAAGAAAAGAAGGAAGGAAAGAAGGAAGGAAGAAAGGAAGGAGGGGAGGGGAGGGAGGCAGGAAGGGGCAGGGAAGGAGGGAAGGAGGGAGGAAGAGAGGGGGAGGGAAGGAGGGAAGAAGGGAGGAAGGGAGGGGGAGGGAAGGAGGAAAGGAGGGAGGAAGGAAGGGGGAGGGAAGGAGGGAAGACAGAGAAAAAAGAAGAAAAAAAAAAGAAAAACAAAAACAAGATGGAAGAGAAAGAAGAAGAAAAGGGGAAGAAGGAGAAGGGAGGAGGAGGAAGAGGAGGAGAGCAGAAATATGTTAAGCACAGGATCAACCCTAAATGAACCTTTCCTGGTTCACAAATAACTACCATTAAGTCTGGAGCCATGCTTCCAAGCAGAGGGGGCACCAAACCACTCCCCTCGGCCGAAAACAGACAAGCACAGGACCATGGCTCAGTAAGTAATGCATCACACCAGTGTTTATGGTGGTCATCATAGGACTCTTTGTGTTGTCTTAGCCATTTCTGATGCCAGGGAACTAATTCAGTTTTGTGAATGGCAGACCAACACTCTAGCACCAAATTCCACCGCAGCTAATCACAGAATTTTTAAGCTGAGAGGAGCACAGAATCTCTCTCTTCGGAACACTTCCATTTGCAAATGAGGAGATCTAGGTCACCCATCCAGATGGAGAGTGAGCAGAGTCACAGTCTGGGCTTCTGAGCCTTATGGGGTATTCCCCTCATCTTACCTCACAGCCAACCTTTGAGGCTTTTGTCTCCACCTTCATGTTTGGTGAAAACAGTGTGTTTCACTTTCCTTTTTTTCTAGAGAAACAAACTCCCCTTTCCACCCTAGGACCCGAGTTCTACTTACTCTTCGAGGGTGGGCCTTTTCCTCTGGGACATCTTTATGAATTTTTGATATGTTTAGGCCAAACTCAGAGTTCTCTGGTTGAGTGTCACTGACACTCTCCTGGAGAAAGAAGGCTGTGAGAAGCTAGCTGTGCAAGCAGCTGAGACCCTGGCTCTGACTGCCCATCCCACATACCAAGCCAAATACTGGCTACCACTTCTGTATAATGGTTATCTGGCCAATTTTGTTCAGATTCACTGGACCATAAACTATATCTCTGTGCCATGAGAAAGGAGTTATCCCCAAAGGCTGAGAAGACTCCAGGCCATGGGTTCTAAGCAGTCCTTCCCATGGAAAAATTCCTATACTCAGCCCATCCCCACTCACTGGCTTCTCTTTTTCTCCTCTGGCCAAGGCTGACTGAGTCCGGGGATTCAGCAGAATCACCCAACCTCCTGTGGAACTCACCTGCCCAACCCCACCATCTGCCTTGGGCACACCCACTAACCCTCTTCAAACACACGGAGTTCCATGATTATTTCTTTCCATCCTACTATTCTTCAGGACTCACTTTTTCTGAGTTTCCATTGATTAGTTCTCATTAAAACCTGAACTGTTTTGTCCTCGATGGGAAGGTTCTGGATGTAGTTCCCCTGAGGCAGGAGCCACTGAGCTCCCCCATCTGCTGAACTTACTTCTCTTCGCTGCCCTCCCTTCTAGAAAGTCTAGTGTTGAGGTGCGGGGTAAGGACTAACCCTGTGTGTTTTGCAGATGCCCAGATGGAGATGCCAAGGCCCAGTTGCACCTCGAATTATCCCTGGACCACTCTGAGGAGCCCAGAGACACACTTGGGGTGGGAAGACCTGATTTCTGTACTTCTCTCAGCTGTGAGAATCTTACCAAGCAGCCCAACAACTTCCAGTCCCCTCACTCTGAGCTAAAATTAGAGAAGGAGCTGGAAAACCAGAAATTATGCATTTTTTTGTTCCAGTACACTAAAATGTCACCAGTGTTCGAGGACCTCTACAATCAAATCATACAGCAATTTGTAAACAGAGAACCTAAAAAGCCCACAAAGAAATGGCACATTTTCTTGAGGCCATTTATCAGCCAAGTATGGTATTACTGGCATGAAGCAGTCATCTCCACCTGTTTAGGATGCTCCTTGACAGCTTTGGTGTCCCCTGTCTTCACTGATGAAGTTTTGGGTCGTGGCTTCTGCTGATTTATCTTGGGGAGATTTTTACAATTATCATTTGTCACCCTAAGGAAGGAACAAAAACCTTCAGAAAAGTATTCTAACCATTTAACATTTCCCACCCACCTCAGACCAGGGAAAATGTCGGGGTGGAGAGAGTAAACAGTCCTTCTACTCAAGTTAGGAAATGTCAGAAGATTCAGGGATCTGTCTAAGTTGTAACCCAGCGCACTGAATATACTTTCTCTAGGTAAAATAACTCTTAGCCTGTTGTACACAGTAAACATCAAAAAGGGCTTCTAGGCTGGAGAGATATCTCAGTGGTTAATATCACATGCTGCTCTTCCAGAGGACCTGGGTTCAGTTCTTAACACCTGCATCACGCAGCTCACAACTTCAGCTCCCCTCTTCTGGCCTTTACAGGTAACCAACCACACCCAGACACACACAAATATAAAGTATTGGGGGGGGGGGCTTATGTAATGACAGCAAAACTTCATCCATGTCTACTATCATATGTCAGTCATCTCTGCAAAACAGTTTCTCATGAGTATAGCTCATTTCCAGAAAAACAAATGGGGGGGGGGGGGGGAAGGGCTGTACTCATAAAAGTAGCTAACTCTCGTAAAGATGGGGTTTGTAGTACAGGAAGGGATAAAGGGGGTCAGCTGGCAGGCTGTGCACGATAGTCACAACACAAGCATTTGGGTACATGTGCTACACATCACTACAAGGGCAGGACTAATTTGTTCAATACATCTTCTTCAGTACACACACAAACACACACAAACAAACACACAAAATGGTATTGGGATGTTTGCATTTTGTAATGGAAGACAATGTCAGAGATGGGCAGGACCTCCTTAGGAGGCAAACATGAGTTCCCATGTCTTAAGTTGCTCTGTTCTCTCAGCTGTTTGCAGAGTATCTGTAGGAGGTTCACTAGAAGGACGCTTATGTTCTAAATCATCTCAGACAGCTTCTTCCTCAGTTCCAGTTCATTGTGAAAAAGAAAACTTGTTCATCTCTAACATGAAGACAACCCATGTCAACAATACCACCAGTGTCCACACTCTACAGGCAAACTCATGGGAAATGGACATTGACCATGCCTGGGGCATCTTTTTGTCATCTCTGAGATAAGAAAATCTGTTTTTCAGGCCTTCTGCTGGCACAAAAAATGAAATAATTATGAAATGAATACTAAGCATTTATACATGAAAACTGTACTAATAAAGTTGGTTTGAATGAAGTTATGGATTTCTCTCTCTCTCTCTCTCTCACACACACACACACACACACACACACACACACACACAAACATACACGTCTTAATATCCATTTGGGTCTGTCAGAGAACCAGAACTTTGTTTTCCAATTTTGATTTCCCACTAACAGCAAATGCTCAACAAAATTTGCTTCAATATGAGTCAAGACAAAAGCATTAATGATTACAAAATTCTTCTGAATATAGAACCCAAACTACTTCTGTCTTTACGTTACCGAGAAGCTCCAGTTTCTTGCTAGGGTTGATTTTGATCATCAACCTGACTGGATTAAGAAGCACCTGGCGGGGCTGGAGAGACGACTCGGTGACCTAGGTGTGCGTGGTCCCAGCGCTCTTGTGCCAGCTCCTGTCTGTGACTCCACTGTCTCCTGACTTCTGCAAGCATTTCACACCTGTACTGCACAGACATACATGTAGCCAAAACACTCACAAGCATAAACTAAAAATACATTTAAAAAAGAAACTCCTGGGTACTGGAGAGATGGCTCAGGGGCTAAGAGCACTGACTGTTCTTCCAGAGGACCCGAGTTCAATTCCCAGCACCCACATGGCACTTTACAACTGTCTGTAACTCCAGTTCCAGGGGAGCTAACACCCTCACATGGACATACATATGGGCAAAACACCAATGCACATAAAATAAAAATAAAATTAATAAAAAAGAAAAGAACTGCCTAAGACATTAATGAGGCACAGCTCTGGGCATTCCTGAGAGGGTGTTTTCAGTGACGTTTACCTGGGAAGGAGAGACCTACCCTAAATGTGAACAGCAGAAGCCCATGGGCTGGGATTCTAGAACTAACAAAGAGAGAAAAAGCAGAAAGCCAATTGACCTTTTTCTGCTTCCTGGCCAGTGCCACGGGTCAAGCCCCTCCTGCCCCCATGCCTTCTCCGCCATAAAGGACCACATTCTTTTGAGCCAAAAATAAGTCCCTCCTCCTCTACACTGCTTTCTGTTGTTTGTTGGGTATCCGGTTGCAGTGGTGAGAAAAGCAGCTGACATGAACTTCAGGAGAGGGCTGTGCTGTATTCCAGCCAGAATCCCTAGTTGTTCCAGTCACTGCTAAGGTCTCCTGAATCCCGATTCCTTCCTGTCTTGGTTAGTTACCCTTTGCCCCCTGTCTTTAGACTAGAATGAAGTAGCCTCCTACTTTTTGGGTAGTGTTTCCTATTGATGAAGCCTGAGACGACATCAGAAATCACACTTCCCTTCAGCGGTGTTAACTCAGGCAGAGTGTGCTTCTGTTAATCATTTCCAGGTCTCTATTTTTGCTGTGGGGAAGCTACTGGCTAGAGCCTGAACCCTATTCCATCATCTTAGGCCCATCCAACAGGTTTTCAAGCCTTTGAACCCCAATTCTGTCACTTGTTTCATTAGACAGCTCTCCTCCCTTGGATCATCATCAGCTCTGTAACCTGGAACAATCTCTGGTGTGAGGCACAAAATCAGGAAAGAACAATTGGATGGCCGGTAGCCAACCTGATGACACACCCTGTCCCTAAGCAACTATCTCAGCAGAAAACTGCACCCAGCACAGTTGGAAAGGGGCCCAGTGACTAAGAGCACTTGTCGATCTCAGAACCTGAGTTCAGGTCATCCACCCACGTTGGGGGGAATCTCTACTGCTTGTAACTCTAGTTCCAGGAGATCTAGTGCCCTCTTCTGGACTCTGTGGGCACTGCACAGATGTGGCGCACATACATGCAGTGAAAACATTCAAACACATAAGTAAAAATAACTATCTTAAAAAAAAAAAAAAGCCCAAAGTGCCCAGAAACACTTCCGTTGCTTTCCTGGTTCATTTTCCTGACTACCCATATGGTGTTCAGCCTTTGTGCTTGCCATAGATAGACATCAACTCAGAACTAGGGAAAGCTCAAGTGGCTACACACACAACCTCACTCCCTTTCCTTTTATATGTTGCTGCCTAGTGTTCACTCACCAAGTATCACCCAGGTGACATACCCCAGCACAGAGCAGGCACGAAATAATGCCTGAATACAATCAGACCTGAGTACGTTCCAAAGTTAGCCTCGCAGAAGGCTCTCACGGTTGTGGCAACAAGCTGTTATTATTTTTCACCAGAGACTGACTAGCTTTACACAAACTATAAGTAAAGCGATAGCACCTCCGTCAAATCAATGAAACAGTTGCTAAAGGGCAGCCCAGAGCAGTGGTGCCCTCAGGCAGAAGAGCGCTGGAGTCAGTGTTCTGAGAAAGCATGGGGTCCATCCAGCCACTGTTACAGGTGATCCGAGGGGCTCTGCTGAGGTCCCTGGGTCCTTCTTTCTCTGGCTGGATACTTCACAAAACTGAAGCACTTGGTGGAGCATACAGAATGCACACTTCTCAAGACCTAAATTACTTACGTCAATAGAAGTTTTCTTTTTCAGGCACATTCTAAGATTTTTGTCTTTTCACAGCCTAACTGGGTGTACAGTATAGTTCCTTCCAGAGCCACACTTTCACCCAACCCTTGGCTTTTCGCTTTTTTGCACTGGCAAAAACCTCCATTCCCTGCTGCCCAGTCAGTGGTAGGAACTGGTTGTCAATCTTTTAACCTTAAAGATTCAGATGTTCCAAGCCACATGGACAAGAAAGATAGAATATTACCAAACATAATTTCAGTGACCTAGGAGAAAGACACTGGCTTAAGTTTGGACAGTGGTGACAAGAGGGGCACTCCAAGATCACATGGCCATAGTCTGGCATTGCTGGAGACCTCCATGGAGTGGCACTAGAGACTTCAGGGAAGAGAGTCCACAGACTCTTAAGAGTTGGGCTGTTCAGGGTTGGCATGTTAGCGCAAGCCTGTAATCCCAGCACCCAGGAAGCAAAAGCAGGTGGATCTCTGTGAGTTCAAGGCCAGCCCGGTCTACACAAGGAGTTCCAGGAAATCGAGGGGTATGTAGAGACACCCTGTCTCAAAAAAAAATTAAATAAATAAAAAAGAAAGTGTTAAATTGGTCAAGATGAATCACTTTACCTTCTGCTCTTCCCTCCACTTCTCGACGGTAAATTTTTTTCTCCTGTGGGGGGAAAACATTGAGGGAAAGGGAAGAAATATATCTTAAGAGAGAGCACGCAAACATTCATGTACATTTTCTTTCAGTGATCTTACATTTTCTGTTTCATCCTTTTGGACCACAAACAGCTAGATATTCTAACGAGAAGTGAAGGGACCAGAAAATGGAAGGAAGTCGCAGCTTCTCAGGCGTTTTGAGCCACACAGACAAAGACCCCCCAGGCCTCAGTTAGCAAATGTGCCCCAGATCCCACCTGTGGGGTCAGCACCCACAACAGGCTGGCTTCATGGCTTGCCATTCCACTGAGTTTTCATGAGCTTGCTTCTGTTTTTCTGGGTCACATATCACTCCAGGATCACATGAGTCTGACAGGAACATTTACTGAGTCAAATTCTGCCAACTGACCTTTAGAACTAAGACACTGTGTCTAGTGTCACAGGAGAAAATGAGTGCCAAGCTAGATGAGAACAGGCCACCTAGAGTCAGTCCTTGTCAGGAACAAGGCTTGCCTCTCTGTGTCACAAGCCAGTGCCCAGCTCACACAACCAGCCAAATGAACTGAGTTCTCAGTCCTTCACTGGAAGAGAGCTCAGACAAAAGAAAAATTAAAATTGTAGACCTCTTCCAACTGTAGATTTGGCCCTGGCTATTTTTAATCAATGCTCCTCTCAGTTTCCTGGTCCCTACATGAAATGTTAAACTCTGTGGCTTAACAAGTGCCTTGTAAACAGGACAATGGTCTCCCTTGGTTTCTAATTACTTCCCCTACTTACATACTTCTAAGTCAATGTTCCTACAAACCCTAGGACCTTGGCTTTAGATCCTCCCTCTAGCCAGCCTCCTTGACTGCTGACCTATATTGGGTCCTTGCATTATATTGATTACCATCTGGATTGATGCTTTCAAAAGCATTTCATTATCTATACATGAGCTATTAGCTTCACCAATACTCATTTCCATGTTATTTTCAAGATAGATAATAGGTCTTCCTAACAAGAAAGAGTCTCTTGTTATTTATCGTCCTCTAACAGCCCTTTCCATCACTGCAGAAGTTGATGCTAGTCTTCTGAGGAGCACCTGCAATACACTGGAGCTCTGCTTTCATTACCTGAAACACATTCCTCAAACAAATGCCAACAAGACTAGACGATGTCAAAAGTCTAGGCCTTCATGTTTGAATGGTCAGTTCTGGGTCTGAGATTGACCCAGGTCTTCCTGGTCTACTCCCCTAGGCATGGAAGGGAACCATCTAACCAGGTACCTAAGAACACCTTCTGCTGGGGGAGAGATAGGCCAAGTTGGTAACCAACTTTCGATCTTCAGACCCTCACCTCCCTGATACTGGGATTACAGATTTGGGCCACCTAAAACACCATTCTTAACAATGGGATAGAGCCTCATTTCTAGCACAAGCAATGTACCTGTGTCTGGTGCCTTCTTGATCATTTTGGGGTACTTTTGGAACTTTACAAAATAATAGCTCTCATATTCCATCAAAATCGTTTCCAGGTCAACGTTGTCACAAACTTCAAAGCGACGTAATCCCAGTTTAGACTCCTCCTCCAAAGCATTAGCTGCATCCATGTAACTGGCAGTTTTACAGGAGAGAGAAGATTAAGTCTGGGTTTAAAGAATGAAAGTAAACGGGTTGCAAATAATCCAAAGAGACTTAATACTAAGAACAAGCAGATAGTAAACAGCACATTATAGGAAAACTAGTGTGTGACAGATTCTTCCAGAGTAAGGAACACTGCATACCATTTTTTTGGTTTAGTATGGATTTTGTTTTCTTAGTTTTGGTTTTCTGCTTTGGGTTGTTTAATGCTGCTGAATGGTTCGTTCTTTTTGGTTGTTGGTGGTTTTGGTTTTCTGATTTGTCTTCAGGTTGGTCGTTTTAGGGATAAGGTCTTACTACATAGCTCAAGCTTTCTTAGGACTTGTGGTCCTCCTGTGCCAACCTCTGAAGCACTAAGATTATAGACTTGTAACCATTGCCTTTCCTCATTTGTAGCCAAATATGGGCATAGCTGCTGTATTGATTACTCTTTTGTTGCTGTGGAGAGTGTCACTTATTAGCACAGGCTCACCAGTTACAACATATAAACTACATTAATGCAATGTATTTGGATAACTATATCCATCACTGTCATTTGCAACAGTTCTTTCTGGAAGCTACTTTCTTCCATGACATCTAGGGATGCTCCCATTGTCCAAAACAAGTTTGAAAGTGCTTAAAATCAAATAAGTCTACTAAGAAATTGTTGTTGGATTGCCTTTCCTCGTTTTTAGCCAAATATGGGTGTAGCTTGCCATACTGGTTACTCTTTTGCTGCTGTGGAAGACTGTCGCTTATTAGCACAGGCTCACCAGTTTTAACCAGTAAACCACATTAATGAGAGATGTGAGTAATAAGGCTGGAGCTCATTTGTAGATCCACCACCAGCACGGCAAATAATAATTATTATAATAATAGCAACATTATTAATAGTGATAATGATACAGGAAATGGGTGGGAAGAAGGAGCATATAGGGATGTACTGTAATTTCTGCTCATCTTCCTGTAAATATAAAACTGTTCTAAAAGTGAACTTTAGTCACTGCCTTCAAAGGGACAGAGAAAAGAGGCATCACCGTTAAGTGTGTGTGATAACATACCCTTCTTGTGTTAAGTAATGCAAAATCAAAATGAGAAGATTTTTTCGTCGTGCTTCTGTTCTCATCGCACACTGTGAACAAAGAGAAAAATTTAGAAGGGACAAGATACAGCAGTGCTTTACAGCATAGCAATAAAGGCTTACAGGAAAGAGGCTCTGTCAAAACTGGGCAGCCTGTCCTGGGCTGGCTGGCCTCTGTGGGCCCAGAGGATGCATGGACTTGTTTTTTACTGTCTGTTTCTTCCTCAATCCAGGTCCTCCGTAAGCTTAAGAGACACTGACTTCAATTAGGACTGCATGTGAAGGAAAATTAAAGAGGAGTGGATCTGGGGAGAGAGAAAGTGGAGAAGAGGGAGGAGTGGAGGGTGGGGAAACTACAGTCAGGATGTAATGTATGAGACAGGAAAAAAATAAATTTACTTTTAAAACTGTGATCGACAACAACAAGAAAAGATAATTTTTAAACATAAACTTGTGATGTAGAAATCAGCTGTGGCAACACATGTTCACATGAAATATATCTTTAAATCACTCGGAGTCTAACACAGTTCCTGGACCACCTCAATTATAGGTTCCCCCAAGTCATTCAGGCACTCAGATTGGCCACTGAGAGAAGCAGGGCCAGGAAAGGGAAATTCCAGCATAATAAGGTTATCCAAGATAGATGAATTGGGGCCTTTATGTGCAGTGCTAACGCACACATTTAGCACTCTGGAACTTCAAGTCATCCTCAAATTCCTTACAAGTCTATATCTAATAGCACATTTCCTAAATCTGAAGAAACCACAGGTAAGAAGTGGGGGATTTAAAATGGCCTCTACACAGTCCAAATGATGTCATAAAGTCTGTACACATGGGCTGGTGAGGTAGCTCAGTCAGGAGGGTCCTTAGCAGGCACAGAGCCTTGGACCCAACCCCAGCACTGTCTCAAACCTAAAACTGGATGGTATGGTGCATACCTGTAATCCCTGTAATTGAAAGATGGACACAGGAGGATCATAAGTTCAGGTCATCCTCAGCTACAAGGGGAGTTTCAGACTAATCTGGACTATAGGAAGCCCCATCTCAAAAATTAAATTTCTATACAAATGCTCATGACACACATGATGTCTGCGGTTTTCTAAAAACTAATGTTGTTATAAAACAAAAAGGTGTAGTTCATAGCACTAAGTGCCTTCAAGAAGAAATTCAACACAGCTCATTCAAGCAACTTAATGGCTCACCTGAAAACCCTAGAAAAAGAAGAAGCAGACACACCAAAAAGGAGTAGACAACTGAAAATAATCAAACTCAGGGCTGAAATCAATCAATTAGAAACAAATAAAACAATTCAAAGAATCAATGAAATCAAGCACTGGTTCTTTCAGAAAATCAACAAGATAGACAAACCCTTAGCCAAGCTAACTAAAAGGCAGAGAGACACCATCCAAATCAACAAAATCAGAAATGAAAAGAGGGACATAACTACAAGCACTGAGGAAGTCCAAACAAATCATTAGGACTTACTTCAAAAGTCTATATGCCACAAAATTTGAAAATCTAAATGAAATGGACAATTTTCTTGATCAATTCCACTTACCAAAACTGAATCAAGACCAGGTAAATCAATTAAATATTCCTATATCCCCCAAGGAAATAGAAGTAGTCATCGAAAGTCTCCCATTCAAAAAAAGCCCAGGACCAGATGGTTTCAGTGCAGAATTCTACCAGACCTTCAAAGAAGAGCTAACTCCAGTTCTCTTCAAACTATTCCACAAAATAGTAACAGAAGGAACACTACCAAACTCATTCAATGAAGCCACCTTGGTACCTAAACCTCACAAAGACCTAACAAAGAAAGAGAATTTCAGGCCAATCTCCCTTATGAACATTGATGCAAAAATACTCAACAAAATACTTGCAAACCAAATACAAGATCACATCAAAGATATCATCCACTATGACCAAGTAGGCTTCATCCCAGGTATGCAGGGGTGGTTCAATATATGGAAATCCATCAATGTGATCCACCATATTAACAAACTGAAAGAAAAAAAAAAACACATGATAATCTCCTTAGATGCTGAAAGAGCATTTGACAAGATCCAACATCCATTCATGTTTAAAGCCTTGGAGAAATCAGGGATACAAAGCACATATCTAAACATAGTAAAGGCAATATACAGCAAGCCTATAGCCAACATCAAACTAAATGGAGAGAAACTTAAAGAAATCCCACTGAAATCAGGGACAAGGCAAGGCTGCCCACTCTCTCCATATCTCTTCAACATAGTTCTGGAAGTCCTTGCTAGAGCAATAAGACAGTTGAAGTAGATCAAGGGGATACAAAATGAAAAAGAAGAAGTCAAATTATCACTATTTGCAGATGATATGATAGTATACCTGAGTGACCCCAAAAATTCTACTAGGGAACTCCTACAGCTGATAAACACCTTCAGCAAAGTGGCTGGATACAAAATTAACTCAAAATAATCAGTAGCCCTCCTGTAAAAGAAAAAAGGGCTGAGAAAGAAATTAGGAAAACAACACTGCCACACTAACTCCAGAGTCGTCTGTGTAAACATAAAAAATGTGCTATGTGAGCATAAAATTATGTTGCCAGACGGAAGATACGTTTCCTACGGGAATCAGCTTCCTGGAAGTCACTGGCAAAAACCCTCTGGCCACCTAAGCCAAAAAGACGTATTCTGAGAGTCCCATGCTCCCGCGGTTGCAAGATTGGATTGATGAGCCTTTTTGCTGTTTATCTATGATTCTTGGAACAGCACCATTGATTATTCAAAGAAACACATTCCTAATAGATTACTAAAAGCTTTAGCAAATAAGAGTAGAAGGAAAATAAAATTTTAGGAGAGGTAATAAATCAGATTCAGCATCAGGAATTGCTTGTGGAAAAACCAAACATTGTAGGTAGTAAAGGGACAAGAGTTTTAGGGCTTTCTAAAGAAAATGTTTAATCAGGATCTGTTAGGATAAATGCTCTGGATATTCCCACCGCAGTAAAACTACTACAAAACCATTACCAAACACAGATGTTTATGATGAGGCAGAAAGAAGATAGGCAAATATAGGAGGTCAGAAGGTTTTATATTATACTATGAGTTTACGGACAGGCTAGCTCAAGCATCTCATCTCTAAGGAAAGATTGTAAATCCTTAGCAAGACAAACAAAAGGAATTCCCCTTAGTGCTTAACTCTAGGGGAGTTGTAAATCTTTACCTGACTTGGTTCGGAGGGCAATGACAGCCCCTGGGCTTCCACTCACTAATTAGTAGCAGTAAACTGCATAAACACCACTAGTTTAAGGTTTTGTATTTGCTTTGATTAAACGCTTTTAGGCCAAGATTTTTTGTAGACACTGCTTCTACCAGGTTACTCTTTCAGTTAAAATGTAAACTTTGTATTGTTGGTTAAAAGTCTTAATGCTCCAGGAAGTATGTCAACTTCAAGATGCTTCTTTATGTAATTACTATATAAATATTAGCTTGCCTTCAGTAAATTGCAGTAGATGCAAACCAATACTACTTGGTGTGGTCTCTGTCATTTCGCCTACCTGTGCCTAACCTGATATCCGAATACCTGATTTTCCCGTGGGTGCAGAACACCCGACTGGGTCGGTCCGTGGCACAACACCCTTCACAATAACCACAAATGACATAAAGTACCTTGGTGTGACCCTAAACAAGGAAGTCAAAGACTTGTATGAAAAAAATTTCAAGTCTCTGAAGAAAGAATTAGAAGAAGATATCAGAAGATGGAAAGATCTCCCATGCTCATAGCTTGGCAGGATTAACATGGCCATCTTACCAAAAGCAATCTACAGATTCAATGCAATTCCAATCAAATTACCAACACAATTTTTTACAGACCTGGAAAGAAAAATTCTCAACCTCATATGAAATAACAAGAAACCCAGAATTGCTAAAACAATCCTCTACAATAAAAGATCTTCTGGACGTATCTCCATCCCTGATCTTAAGCTGTACTATAAAGCAACAGTAATAAAAACTGCATGGTACTGGCATAGAAACAGAATGGTGGATCAATGGATCCAAACAGAAGACCCTGGAATAAACCCACACACTTATGGACACCTGATCTTTGACAAAGATGCCAAAACCATACAATGGAAAAAAGATAGCATCTTCAACAAATGGTGCTGGTCTAACTGGATGTCTACATGTAGAAAAATGCAAATACATCCATACTTATCACCCTGCACAAAACTAAAGTCCAAGTGGATCAAAGACCTCAACATAAAACCAGACACATTAAATCAGTTAGAAGAAAAAATGGGAAATACCCTAGAACTCATTGGTACAGGAGACAACTTCCTGAACAGAACACCAACAGCACAGGCTCTAAGAGCAACAATCAATAAATGGGACCTCATGAAACTGAAAAACTTCTGTAAAGCAAAGGACACTGTCATCAAAACAAAGCGACTGCCTACAGATTGGGAAAGAATCTTCACCAGCCCTTTTTCTGACAGAGGGCTAATATCCAGTAAAGAACTAAAGAAGCTGAAAAGCAACAAACCAAGTAATCCAATTAAAAAATGGGGAACAGAGCTAAACAGAGAATTCTCTGTACAGGAATATAGAATGGCAGAGAAACACTTAAAGAAATGCTCAACGTCATTAGCCATCAGGGAAATGCAAATCAAAACAACCCTGAGATTTCACCTTATACCCATCAGAATGGCCAAGATGAAAAACTCAAGTGACAGCACATGCTGGAGAGGTTGTGGAGAAAGGGGAATCCTCCTCCACTGCTGGTGGGAATGTAAACTTGTACAACCACTCTGGAAAGCAATCTGGCCCTTTCTCAGACAACTAGGAATAGCGCTTCCTCAAGATCCAGCCATACCACTCCTAGGCATATATCCAAAAGAGGCTCAAGTACACAAAAAGGACATTTGCTCAACCATTTTTGTAGCAGGTTTATTTGTAATAGCCAGAAGCTGGAAACAGCCCAGATGCCTCTCAACTGAAGAATGGATGCAGAAATTGTGGTACATCTACACAATGGAATATTACTCTGCAATGAAAAATAGGGAAATCATGAAATTT